GAAGGTGTCAGAATTATGAATGCAGGTCTACATCAGAATTTTTAACAGTCCATTTAGAATGAATCCAAACCTCAGACCCAGACACCCTTCAACTTTGGAGCTTTTGAAATAGATGCAAATATGGTAGCTTCAGCTCAGGTAACTTGTCTGGGACAAACTCTCTGCAGTATGCTCAGCAGATCCCCTAGTGCCATTCACAAGAGCCTAGTTGCAGGGTGGAAGATTCTCCACTGGGGAAGGGGCGATTCAGAGTCCAGCTGTGCTCCATGGCTGCTGCGGATACGTGATTTAACACCCTGAAATGCCGTCTTGCCCCAGCAGTTGCACTTTAAGATGTTTTAAACTAGTGAAGCCATCGGGTTTATTCTTTACACAATGATTACTTCAGCTGTCAACAGAATTTAGTGAGCCACCACCAAAAAATGCAGGTATATTACTGGCAGAGTACAACTCAGGCTGCATGTGAATGATAGGACTCCCTTTTGATGCCCTGATTCCTAGCTCAAGCTAAGAAAATTGCCCAGAAGCAGCTGGAAGACGCTGAGTGGCACTGAGCCTCGTCCTTTATACTATAGTAAATCTGCTTTTTGGAAAAGAGAGACCCTGGTCAGATGCGCCAGTGATGGGTGGTAATGGAAGAACCTATGTAGGTTTTCCTCTGCTTCAGCATCACCTGAGAGGTAGCTCTGCCTAGTAAACTGGCTCGTGCTAGCGCAGTTCTGCTTAAACCTGCCGTGTGTGTGTGTGTGTGAGTGAGGAACGGGGGACGGACTGATTTGCTGTTGTCATTCAATGCTGCATGATTTTCACAGAGATGTTACTGTCTGCCTTTGTATCCATGCGTAAATACTGTTGCACACAATGCCAGGGAATGTAAGATCCACTCTCTCTCTCTCTCTTTCTCTCTCTCTCTCTCACACACACACACCTGATGGCAGGTATCTAGAGAAGTGATTCAATCAAGGAAGGTGATCCGAGCAGCTGTGATTTTAATGGACTGAGTGGTGGGTGCAATATAGGAAACAAGAATGACAGTATAGGAAACAAGAATGACTAGAGGGGAGAATGACAGTAATCAAGATATGAGATAATGACGGACTGGATGAGAGTCTGAGCTGTAGGGATTTCAGTGGGAGTTAGGTGCCTAAATACCTCTGAGGATGTAGGCCAGAAAGACAAGTTCAGCTAGGAGTTACGGAGGATGTTGTGGCAAGGTCTGGACACTTGCCAGTGCATATAACATACGTATTATTATTAGACTGAATGTGTAAACATACGTGTTTTAAATCAGCACGCTAATCCCAAGAGCACAAATTGTTACCTCCAAAGGCAAACGATGATCATAAACCAATAACCTGAACCAACATTACTAATCACTGGCAGGCAGGAAAGTGAGAAATGTACAGGTACAATTACTGGAATATAGTATCTAAGCAACCCTTTGCTCTTCTGTATTTATGGAAGCAGAATGGATTGTATACGTCAGCCGTTTCACATTTGTTTCTAAACTATTGAAGTCAAATTGCACCTGGACGACAGTCTCAGTGTCTGATGAAGACCCCCAAAAACGCAAGCATTTTTTCTGAGTGGAAACATTTGCAAGTCAAAGCAATCAGTGGAGATCATTTTTACACATGCCGGTCTTGACTGAAGTTCTGAGCCATGCACACTTTCTTTTGTACTTAGACACTATGTTTCACCAAGCAAAAGAAAACAAATTTGAATTAAGCTCAGAAGAACTTGGCTTTATACAGACTATTTTGTTTGACTTGTCTTGAAAGACAACAGGGCCTCAGTA